TTTTAATTTGGAATGGGGAGAGTTTTTCTGAGTAATGTTCCAAATCAAGAAGCTATGCAAGAAAAGACTAGCATGGCCAAAAATGGAAACTCTCTAACTATCTTATTTCAAACCAACCATCCAACTAACAATTGGAAACGATGGGCAAAATATATTTTTTTTAAAGTATTGGAAATCACTGAGGAATGAAAGCAGAACGGCCTGAGGAGTCAAGATCAAGGAGACAGAGGAGGACGAGGAGAGGACGAGGCATTTGCCTCTAAGGAAGCTGAGCAGACATTAAGGACTAAGAGACTAGTGAGTCAGGCCAAACTCTAGCAGTTTCCAGGGGCTGGGCTACAATAGATGAGGAACACATGCCAAGGATGACGGGTACTGTTAAACACTTCAGGCTTTCAGCTGGGATGCTGAATGATTAGGTCTGGGGAAAAGAAACTAGAAACTGATTATCCCTTGCAAAGACAAAGCCTATCTTTGAATTACTTCAATCCTCATATGAAGGAACTATTCCCCTAACTGCTACCAGAAGCAATTCCAGTTTATCTGGAAAACAGATATCTTACAGCATCCCGATAACCTCCTCAATGGCTCCTATTCAAAATCTGGCACTCAAAATTACCAGGCATACCAGGAGACCATATGAGCAAAAAGAAGGAGAAAAAGCAGCAGTAGAAAAAGACCTGTAAAATGTCCAAATTCTCAGATTTTAAAATAATTTAAGATGTTCAATAACATAGAAGAAAGAGTTGATGTTCCAGAAATGATGGAAGTCTGTGAAAAACAAGAGCAAACTGCATAAATAAAATATGTTAACTGAATCTGAGAAATCAATAAATGGGTTTATTAGCAGATTAGAAACAGCCAAATAGTGAATTAGAGAGTTTAAAAAATTAGAAATAACCAGACTAAAGCACAGAGACAATGCGATAAGAAATGTAGAAAAAAGAGACACATGGCACATAAAGGTCTAATTATACCAATTATAAAGGTATAACTGGAGTCCCAGAAGGGAGAGAACAATGGGATAGAAATAATATTTAAACAGATAACGGCTGAAATTGAGAGCTGAAATGTTACTAAACCTCAGATGCAAGAATATCAGAGGATCCCAAGCAGGATGAATACAAAGAAAGCCACGTCTAGGCATATTACAGTAAGATAGCTGAACATCAAAGACAAAAAAAAAATCTAACAGTAAGTCAGAAGAGCTATCTTCTGCCATTGATATCTCAAATATGTAAAGGAACAGTAACATCTTATACCAGGATAAATGCAAATGTGACCCTTAAGACTATATTGCTTCTAGATCATAGCTTCCCTGACATGAACTTCTGCTTGTTCAATGTTAAAATACATACATACATGACAATGATTTAGAAATCTTATTAAGCACTGGCATTCTATGGCTGTTTTGAACACACACGATTACATCGGTTAACCCCAGTTCATTGTACGGTCTACAGCAGGTGTTAACTGCTATTGTGACTGGGCCAAGTCCAGAGTTTCTATGCTACAACTTCACCTTAGAGTCTCTGGCTAGGATGCAAGTTCTCAGCTTAGAGTAAAATTATTGGTGACACAGATAGAGGTACAATACAGGTTAGGACATATTATCCACCTACATTTTGCCACAAAACCCACCAGGTCTAAAAGAAGCTATTTCCCACCTACAAGGATACTATTTTCCATAGAACACTCTGTCCCTGTTGTAGGCAGGCATTAGAGACCATTTACCAAAGTTATGAGGTGATCTTCATGGTAAGAAGCCTTGGCCCCTCCCCAGAGACTTACTCACCTGTACGCTCCCTCAGGACCTTATCGCAGAGATCCTGTCTACTGATCTTGTGAAAGATCCTTAAGGTTATACTCCATGCTTCTTTTTCCTCATAACACTTGAGCAACAGGTTTGCTAGATCTTCCCGGGAGGCCTTTTTCACTTCGGTCCAGGGAATTTGCCGGAGTCCAAGTTGCAAAGTCTCTTGCTTGAGGTGCTCCTTAAATTTTCTGAACTCGTCCTTCTTGAGCTCCTCTAGATACCATATAAGCCCAAAATCAGAAAAGAAAGATGATGCCATCTCGTCCAGGGCACAGATACCAATCTTCAGAGAGATAATTACCAGGAACAAGAAAAAAATAAAACCTGTGGAAAATTTGGGGTAGTACCAAGTTATTCAAAATGAATGAAGTGAGATTATTTTTTTGATAGTGTTGGGGGCATGGGGATGAGGACAGGAAGTTCTTTAACTAGACTGATGTCACATTCTTATTGAAATGGTCATTGAAATAGTGATAACTGAAAAAAACTCAATAATAGATGAAATAACCCAGAAGATATAAGAATCCTAACCTATAGTCTCTTGACATATCCTCAATATACAGGGCAAATACAGACTTACTTTCAAGTCGTGGGAAATTACATTTTTCTCAGTAAATAACAGAGAAGGCATGCCACCACAAACATAGTCAATTGATTTTTGACAAAGGTACAATGAAGAAGCATAGCCTTTTTGACAAAAGATGCTGGAACAACTGGAGGCCCATATGCAAAACAAAAAAAAAAATTAAGCCAGACATAGACTTCACAGCCCTATGGGAAATGCTCAAAGGTGTGTTACACATGGAAATATCATAACAAAAACACATTAAAATACAAAAGTCAAAGGTGTAATAAAACAATCACATAAAGGAGGAGGAGAAAAGAATTAAATGGCAACATTACAGAAGTTCAGCAACTCACAAAGACAAAAAGACAGATAAAAAGAATTTATACAGCTAGAAAACAATTAACAATATGAGAAGAACAAAGCCTCACATATTGATATTAACCTTGAACATAAATGGATTAAGTGCTCCACTTAAAAGGTATAGATTGACAGAATGGATTAAAAAACCCATCCAATTATATGCCATTTACAAGCAACTCACCTTAAGACACACAGAGACTGAAAGTAAAGGGGTAGAAAAAGATACTCCATGCAAACCAAACCAAAAGAGAGCAGGAGTAGCCATACTTAGATAAATCAGACTTCAAATTAGAAACAATAAAAAGAGACAAAGAAGGCTATTATATAATGATAAAGGGATCAATTCAGCAAGAGGATACAACAATCCTAAATATATATGCACCCAACATCAGACCACCCAGATTCAAAAACTATTACTAGACCTAAAGAAATAGACAGCCGCACAATAATAGTAAGGGATGTCAACATCCCACTCACAGCACCTGACAGATCATCATCAAAGAAACATTAGACTTAAATTGGACTTTAGACAAAATGGACTTAACAGACATTTACAGAACATTCTACCCAACAACTACAAAATATACATTCTTTTTATCAACACATGGAACATACTCCAAGATAGGTCCTATGTTAGGCCACGAAAGAAGTCTTGACAAATGTAAAAAAAAAAAAAAAAAATCAAAATCATATAAAGCATCTTCTCAGACCACGGTGGAATAAACGTAGAATACAAAGGGGATCTTGAGAAACTATACAAATACATGGAAATTAACCAACGTGCTCCTGAACAATCACTGGGCCAATGAACAAATAAAGATGAAAATTTTAAAAATTTTTGAAATGAATGAAAATGAAAACACAACATACCAAAACCTGTGGGATACAGCAAAAGCACTACCAAAAGGGAAACTTATGGCATTAAATGCCTACATCAAAAAAGCAGAACAATCACAAATTAACAACCTAACATTGCAACTGAAGGAACTAGAAAAACAAGAAAAAAACAAACACAAAGTTAGCAGAAGAAAAGAAATAACAAATAGAGACCAAAAAAAATATAAAGAATCAATGAAATGAAAAATTGGTTCTCTGAAAAGATAAAATTGATAAGCCATTAGCTAGATTAACCAAGAAAAGAGAGAAGATCCAAAAATACACAATCAGAAATGAAAAGGGAGATCTTACAACCGATTCCACAGAAATTCAAAAGATCAGAGACTATTAAAAACTACTATATGTTCATAAACTACAAAACCTAGAGGAAATGGATAAATTCCTGAAAACATACAACCTCTCAAGATTGAACCAATATGAACCAGAATTCCTGAATAGATCAATGAGTAACAAGATTGAATCAGTAATTTAAAAATCTCCTAACAACAAAAGGTCCAGGACCAGATGGATTCACAGCTAAATTCTACCAGACATACAAAGAACAAGTACCAATACTATTGATACTGTTCTAATAGATTGAGAAGGAGGGAATCCTCCCTAACTCATTCTATGAATCCAGTGTCACCCTGATACCAAGCTAGGATAGGACACAACAAAAAGTAACACTACAGACCAATATTCCTCAAAAACATAGATGCAAAAATCCTCACCAAAATACTAGCAATTTGAATACAACAGTACATCACAAGTATAATTCATCACCATCAAGTGATTCTGATCTCAGGGATGCAAGGATGGTTCAACATACACAAGTCAATAAATGTGATTCACCACATAAACAGAATTAAACAGAAAAAAACATACGAGCATCTCAATAGATGCAGAAAAAGCATTCAATAAAATCCAACACCCTTCATGATAAAACTCAAAAACTCAGCATAGAAGGAACATACCTCAAAATATAAAGACCATGTACAACAAACCCATGGCCAGCATCATACTGAATGGGGAAAAGTTGAAAGCATTCGCCCTAATAACTGGAACAAGACAAGGGTGCCCACTGCCACCACTTCTATTCAACATAGTACCGGAAGTCCTAACTAGAGAAATCAGGCAAGAAAATAAAATATAGAGCACCCAGACTGGAACAAAAAGTCTAATTATCTGTTTGCTGATCATATGATCTTATATCTTGAAAACCCTAAGGACTTATCAAAAAAAATCCTAGATTTGAGGCCGGGCGCGGTGGTTCACGCCTGTAATCCTAGCTCTCTGGGAGGCTGGGGCGGGCAGATTGTTTGAGCTCAGGAGTTCGAAACCAGCCTGAGCAAGAGCAAGACCCCGTCTCTACTAAAAATAGAAAGAAATTAATTGGACAACTAAAAATACATAGAAAAAAATTAGCCGGGCATGGTGGTGCATGCCTGTAGTCCCAGCTACTTGGGAGGCTGAGGCAGAAGGATTGCTTGAGCCCAGGAGTTTGAGGTTGCTGTGAGCTAGGATGACGCCACAGCACTCTAGCCCGGGCAACACAGTGAGACTCTGTCTCAAAAAAAAAAAAAAAGAATCCTAGATTTGATAAACGAGTTCAGCAAAGTCTGAGGTTATAAAATCAACATACATAAATCAATAATATTTGTATACACCAATAATAACCAAATTGATAACCAAATCAAGAATGCAATTCCATTTACAAGAACCAAAAAAAAAAAAATACCTAGGAATATATTTAACCAAGGAGGTAAAAGATCTCCACAAGGAGAACTACAAATCACTGATTAAAGAAATTGTAGATGACACAAACAAATGGAAAAACATCCCATGCTCACCACTTGGAAGAATCAGTATTGTTAAAATGACCACACTGCCCAAAGTGATCTATAGATTCAATGCAATGCCTATCAATCTACCAACAACATTTTTGATGGAATTAGAAAAAAACAATACTAAAATTCATATGGAACCAAGAAAGAGCTTGAATGGCCACAGCAATCCTAAGCAAAAAGAACAAAGCTGGAGGCATCATGTTACCTAACTTCAAATTATACTACAAGCCTATAGTAACCAAAACAGCATGATACTGGTATAAAGCTAGAGACATAAACCAATGGAACAGAATAGACAACCCAGAAATAAAACCATACAGCTACAACCAACTTGTCTTCAACAAAGCAGATATTCAGGTGATACACGCACTAAAAGCCCAGACTACGTCACTATACATGTAACAGAATTCAACTTGTACCCACTAAATGTATTTTTTAGAAAACTGAATAAAATAACCCACTAAAAAATTGGAAAATATCTGAACAGATACCTCATCAAGGAAGATATACAGATGAAAATAGAAATATTGTAAGATGTTTAACATCATTTGTCATTAGGAAAATTAAAATTAAAATGAAGATGAGAAACCATGATACATGTATTGAAATGGCTTTCTTGCTGATGGAATTGCATGCTCTGGCCACTTCAGACGATAATTTGGCTAATATCCTTGCCATACAGTCCAGTAATCATCTTCCTAAATATTTGCTCAATTAATTTGAAAACTTACCTGTACTAAAACTACACATGAATGTTTATAGCAGCTTTACTCATAATCGAAAAAAATGAAGGGAACCAAAATGTCGTTTAATAGATGAGTGGATAAACAAATTTTGGTACACCCATCCAATGGAATACTATTCAACAGTGAAATGAACTATAAACCCAGGCAACAATATAGATTAATCTTCAGTACATATCACAAATTGAAAGAAGGTAGTCTGGAAGGCTACACACTGCATGATTCCATTCATATAATATCCTGGAAAAGGCAACACTACAGAAATGGTAAAAAGATTAGTGGTGTCCCATGACCCACGGACAGGAGGAGGGGTGAACAAGGGAGGCATAGGGGACTATTTTAGGGCAGCAAAAACACTCTGTACAGCACTGTAGTGGTGGATATATGGTACCATGCATCTGTCAACCCCATAGATCCTACAACACACAGTAAGACTTGATGTGTTCGTACTAAAAGAAACAACAATGAGGAGATCCAGCGACCCCAGGACAGAATGCAAATAGTGACAAAAATGTAACTGTATCACAAGTATTAATATGTGACATAGCCTCACTGAAAGGGGTCAGAGGGACAAAGGGTGGTAACCTAAACAACTCCGGAAATGAGTGGAGAGTGTAGGATGAAAGACAAAAGGAAATGTATGTAAGCACCATGCCCTGGTTGGTAAAGTTGTCTACTGCAGAGTTACAGTTTAACAATTCTTAAACTACTACCCAGGTACAGTGGGTATGAATAAATCAACAGGTGGATGGCAGATCGTGGGAGCTGGGTTTCTTACTGTTGGAGTGGGAAGTTACACATAAGCAAGGAGGAAGACAATAAGGAACCATGTGATAGGGATTAGAACTAATGCACTCACATTGAG